GAGTGAGTGAGGGGTTGGGGGAGGAATTTAGAAGAGCATCCCATGAAGAGGAAATCACATTCAGTGGTCACTTATTTTTTTAAATGACAGGAGGCCCTGTGCTCCTGAGTATCTCCCTCCAGAATTCCAGACCCATGTGGTCGACAGGCCACTGCAGTCCTTCCTGGGGTATATCACAAGTAACGTATATTGGTTATGGCACATGAGAACAGAAATAGACTTGAGTAAAGTTTTTATAGGGATCCAGGGCTCATTAACCTGAAGGGGGGGGAATGCAGCTATAAGAAGGCAAGGGAACCAAGGTTTGGTTGGTGGTCTGGGTCTTTTTGGCTTGCCTCTGCTCCTTGTTTACAATGGGAGATTGACTTTCTCTGCGCTGCTGTGAAGGGGGCAGGCAGTTTACGGCTTCCCCATTGCTCATGGGTTTACATATACCAGCTACGTGAAGAGATTGAGTAAATTCTCTCTTGGACTTTATTCCTCCTAACGAAGGCTAGCAAAGAGTCAAAGTAGTCTACATCATTATCTCAACCACTAACCTATAACACGGAACAAAGTAATCAGCGAAAAAATATGTAGATGGTAGGTCAAATTTTGGGGCCATTGACAAAGAGGTAGGGGGAAGTTGCATTTTGTCTGAAAGATCAGCATGTACTCTGGCAGTGGTTTAATTCTTGCCTAATGAATATAGGTGAGCAGCCTGGGGGTGTGGCTTCCTGTGACATGACGTGTTCTAGGAAGGTTAGCTGCAGAGGAATAGGGAAGAATGGAACTGGGCATGCACCCGGGGGGCAGGATTGGCAAATGTAAGATTGTTTCCTAGTTCTAGAAGATACGCATTCTGGCCCTTTTACTAAGCCACAGGTAGAAAGGACAAGGCAGACAATTAGGCACCATAGAGATTGTGCAAAATGAGGACTTAGTTTTAGCAAATGGCTGTCAAAGTGAACTAAAGTATGATGTTTAAGGACTGACGGGTCCCAGGTCCTGAGACATAACTCACCCCACAAGCTCATGTGAAGAGAAGAGGGCTTGGGGATCTGGGAACAAGAGTGGGGTGGGGGTGTTTGGGAGGGTGGGAGAGGGGTCAGTGTGGGGGCATCTGAGGAGTGTCCTATAAATGGATAATAAAGGCTTCTGACTTTATTCACAAGAGCATTTCTTGGTGAGCTGAGAAAAATATGGGAGATTTTTGTATTTCTATGCTTCACTAGTCAAGATCAAGGGAGACACAATCTGAAAAGTTACTTCCGTATCAATTTACACATAATTTGTCAAAAACACAAACAGTGAGTTGACTCTTACCTTGTCATTGACATACATAATAACCCAGAGACAGTTTCTTCTACATAAAATGCAAAACTGCAACCAGAAAACTGATAATCATCAGTAAATGGTAGAGAGAAAAAGCCTTATTTCAGTGGAGAATTCCCAAATTGATATTTTCACTTTTGAAAAAACTACGACCAAAGACACCTGTTTTGAGTAACTGTTTCCCTTCCCTCCCTTGTGCCCACAGTTTGATTTTTTTCTTTTTCTGAAGGAGATGGTAATGAACATACATGTTGAAATGGAATCTGTATGTTTACATTTCCTATTTCTTTAACAGTTTCCTCTGTTATTTCTTTCTTGGACTCCATATTCCTTGTTAATGCTGAATACCAGAATATCTGCCTTTCCTCTAAGCCTTGAAGGCTCCCAGTTAGATCCCATAACCTTCATGAAGCCTTTTTTTTAGCTATTCTACCATCCCTCAGAATTTTCCAGAATGCTTTTTTTTCTTCGTAGTCATTACTACACATCTTAGTACTTGATTTTATGTATTTTATGTAAGCCGTTCTTCTTCCCCCCCCGAGACTGTCAGATTCCAAATCTTTGTTCTATGCTGATCTCTGTCTTTTAATGGAGAATGTCTACTTTTCTCTTGTCTCAGGTGAATGTCCCACTTCCCCTTGAATCTCGCATTAGTGTTCCAGAACCCAGTTCCCTATACTTGAGTCCCTTCCAGAAGAGCCCATAGGGCCTAACAGTGCATTTCTAATGCCAGTCTCATGGAATCTTGCCTAAATTTACATAATATATTTTTTTCACCTTCCTGCCCCTTCTCAGTCTCTTTACCACTCATTCCACCTATTTGAACATGTGACTTTTTAGAGCCTGAGTTAGGAGAAAGTCACCCTCCTTCCTGCTCTTTCACTCTCTCACCACCACACTTACAACACTCTGACACCAGATGTGTGGGGGTTTTCTCACACCAAGCAATTCCCTCTAACATCAGTTGGGTGTCCTAAAATTTAACTCAATTCTGACACTGTCTACCTGGAGAAGGCATCAGTTCCCACAGGTTAAGGGCTCAGTCCTGCAAGAATGCCCCCCACTTCACACTCTGATCACAAGTACTAGGTTCCTAGGTTACCCACAACTTTTGTCCAGCTTGGCTCTGTATCAGAGGTTCCCATGACCTCCTCCCCCCTCGGATTCGATTGTTGGCTAGAACAGCTTGCAGAACTCAGGGAAACACTTATACTTACCAGTTTATTATATAATAATAGATATGATAAAAGATACAGATCAACAGCCAGATGAAGAGATATGTAGGGCAAGATGTGTGGGAAGGGGCACGGAGCTTCCATGACTTCTCTGGGTATGCCACTTTCCCAACACCCAGAAGCTCTATGAACCTTGTACTTTTGGGATTTTTATGAAGGCTTCATCGCATAAGCTTGATCGAGCCTTAACTCCATTTCCAGTCCTTGTTCCCTCTGGAGAATGGGTGGTAGGGCCAGAAGTTCTGAGCTTCTAATCATGGGTTGGTTTTTCTGGTGACCAGTCTCCACCCAGGAGCCCACCAAAAGTCAGTTCACTAGAACAAAAGATACCGACTATCACCCAGGAAACTTCAAGGAATTTAGGAACTCTGTGTCAGGGACTGGGGTCAAAGACCAAATATGAGAACAAAAGGTACTTCTAGTGTTCTTAACACTTGGGAAATTACATGGGTTTTAGGAGCCCGGTGCCAGGAACCAGGGGCTAATACACATATTTTCTCTTTCACAGAACTCAGATTATCCCCCCAAGGCAAGTTTTCTAGACTCTTGACTATAGTCCTCCTTGATCTGATGCTTCGTGCCACCTATATTTTGTCTTTTAATGATCTTTTAATATTTTCCCCTATATTGTTGCTATTTGGGTCTATGCCTCTTCTCTGCTACAATATTTAATCTCCTATTTATGGCCACTATGTGAGAAAAACACTGTTTTTTCTCCATTTTACAAATGCCAGAACAGAAGCTTTAATAAATGGCATCATGCCCGGTGCCAACCCCCTCATAGATGGTAGAGAAATGATTCAAATCTAGGTCCTCTTTCCCCTGTATCACAGAGAAAGGGATCAGAGAAGCTCCACAGGTCAGACGTGGATCTCCTCACTGAGAAAATGCAGCTGTGGAGAAGCCTTTCTTGCTGTGTGGATAATCCTCATAGTTGATAGATACTTAAGAGTGGCCTTGACAGTGATGTTCAGCTTTTTAAAGTAATGGATTTCATTGTGTTACTAAGATGAAAATATAATTCTAGTTAACATTTGGATACTTGTGGGAACTTAGCTTTCTGAATGTGTAATTTTGGAAGGAAACTGATCTGAAATAGGGATCTCAGCTTGCTTTATTTACGTTCTTTCCTATTGGTTATTTGAAGGGACATAAACTACCTGAATTTCAGATTGTCCCCAGGAGAATATTTGTTATAAAAATGTTGTGGGAAAAGGTCACTATGACTTAGAGAACCCACATTTTGGGCTGGGGAGAGTATTTAGAGCTAATTTCCTAAGGAATTATTGTTTCCCATTGAAAGGAAAGTTCAAAAGTGTCTCATTATTTTTCATTTAATCTTACCCAGAATGTCCAATATCCAGTTCCCTATCATCTGCAGTTATCACAGTATGTCATTTTAATTTAAGGGGGAGGATATATACATAGTATATGCAAATGATCTCTCTATAGCATCATTGTGGCTCTATATGCACTTAGGAAATTTGTTTTAGTTGTTAAATCTTTGACTAATCAGTATGTCTGTGTTCAAAACACAAAACTGCAAACTTATGCTACAGGGTGATAAAAGGGGCATCCTGAATTTGGGTTTGTTGAGGGGAATTAAAATTAGATTTGTCAAGGGGGAATTTATAGATTTCATAACATGCTGAAGATTATCATGTAGTAAGAATTGAACATGACTGTAAGACAATCGAAATAATATTAATTTATGTTTAAGTATAGAGTTAATATTAAAACAGACATAAATATAGAAGATATTGTATATTTACAGTCTCTTTCAGCTCTAAAAATGTCAGTAACAATAACTGATATTTGTGCAAAGAAGATGGAGAAGGAATAGCCAGAGAGAGAGAAGGAAAACCAGAAGAGTGAACATCAGTAGAGTCTAGGGGAAAGGGTGTTTTAAGGAGAAGAATTTCCTAGCAGTCTTGAATATAATGTACAATATAATGTAGCAAAGAACTCTTAGAACTGTAAGACATCAAAGTACTTAATGAGTATAGTTGCATTGGAGTGTTAAGGGACAAAGTCACATCAGATGGACTGAGGAATGTGTAAGTGGCAAATAATGGAATCAATGAGTAAGAAATATTTTGAGGGCGCCTGGGTGGCTCAGTCGTTAAGCGTCTGCCTTCAGCTCGGGTCATGATCCCAGGGTCCCGGGATCGAGTCCCACATCGGGCTCCCTGCTCAGTGGGAAGCCTGCTTCTCCCTCTCCCACTCCCGCGCTGCTTGTGTTCCCTCTCTCACTGTGTCTCTATCTGTCAAATAAATAAATAAAATCTTTAAAAAAAATATTTTGAGAATGTTTTTGTAAAGAATAAAAGATATCTTGAAAGGAGTCTAGAGAACATGTAGATTAATGAAAGTTTATTAGTTTTAATTTTTGTTTTTTTACTTATTTTTTTTTTGTTTTTGTTTTAAAGTGCTTCTTTTTTAATGAAACAAATCCAAAAGTTGTATAGTCAGGCTCAAGTTGTGCAGTTCACAAGCATGGAGAAAACAAACAAACAAAACGACAGAGTTCAAGAGAATTGGAGCTAACCCAGGATGAGGCTGGACTTGCCACCAGGGGGGTTTCTTCAGGATGGCACCGGGGCTGGAGCCACTGGGCTGGGCACAGGGGCAGCGGGCACGGGCTTCTCCTCACTCTGCCCCAGGCTGGCCTGCAAGTCTGTGTCCACGTTTTCATGAATGTCACCTTCTCCCTTCAGATCTAAGAAGTCTCCAGCATTTGCTTCAGAAGAGTTCCTTCTCTGGGGTCCAGATGACTCAGAATCTTCTCTGCCACCACTAGAGTTGGCACCTGCTGACTTGGCCCATGAAGGAGGATTTTCCTCAGGTGTCCCAAAGATGCTAGATGCCGTTTTGTGTCTCCTCACAGGCTGTTCTGCTGGTTCATCAAAGCCTAATGAAAAATTGGATCCACCGCCTGGAGGCCCCAAAACCCGGGAGCTATTCCTGCTGTTGGGATCGACTCCCTTGAAGGTGGTGGTGGTGGTCATGGTGCTGAAGAGCGAGGTAGGCTGGAGCGGGAGCAGAGTGCTGAAAGGGTCAGGTCCGAGGGGCGCACAGGTGCTCCCCACCTGACTGCCAGCGACTGCTGCAGGAGCCTCTGCCCTATTTACTTATTTTTTTAAGATTTTATTTTTATTTACTTGAGAGAGCGGGGGTTGGCACTGGGCATGACACCATTTATTAAAGCTTCTGTTCTGGCATTGTAAAACGGAGACAACAGTGTTTTTCTCACATAGTGGCCATAAATAAGAGTATGCATGAGCAGGGGGAGGGGCAGACAGAGAGGGAGAAGCAGACTCTGGGCTGATCATGGACCCTGATATGGGGCTCCATCCCAAACCCTGAGATCATGACCTGAGCCAAAGTCAGCCACTTAGCCAACTGAGGCAGCCAGGCACCCCTAATTTTTATTTTTTTTTTGTTTATTTGTTAATGGAAAAGACTTGAAATATTTAAAAGCCAATGTCAAGGATCCATTTGTTGGGGGGAGTTGAATATTAAGGAGAGAAAAAGATAATCCATGGTTCCTGAGGTGCCTGAGTGGGTGAATGAGGAGAGCATTGAAAGCAAAGTGAAAGCTTTGGCCTTATGGAATGCCAAAGTCAACTTCTTCACTGTCTGAGGAAGGAAGGGTAAGAATAGTTGCAGGGAGATTTGTATACTGGTAATGCGTAGCTAGGGAATCGGCAATAATGTAACTGGAACGTGTAGACCACAGAATCTAAACCTGAAAAGCAGACAGTTTAGAAAGATCAATGAAGTTGTGGAAGAACGGTCACAGCAAGCAGACTAGATGCAAAAGAGGTTATGACCAGAGTGGGGTGTCAAACTAGTGCTTTTGGGACCAGAGCAATTCTGGATGATGACCAGGTTGCAGGTGTTGGAAAGTGGCCAAGATGCCATTGTCCATATGGCTGTTGAGGTCCTCCACGGAGATGAGAATGGTGGCAAAGCCTGGTGGATGAAAGTGAATGGATGAAGGAGCTGAAGCCAGGAGGGGCAGGGAGTAGGAGAAAGTTGTGAAGTCAACAGGTGTGGGCCCCCACAGAGCAGGATGTTTTACTAGAAAGGAGGACAGCAACTGGGAAGAAGGAAGGCAGCAAGTTCACTTCTCAACTCTGTGTCCTTGGAGTGTGTGAGAATAAGGAGTCATCACTGCAGAAGTTTGCAGAGAAAGTTGTATTTTAGGGAAATGTTTGGGTTCAGGTATGGTAAAGAGATGGGGAAACATTTAGAGAAGGTTGTAGAGAGTTTGTTGATTTTGGAACAAGAATTCTAGATGACATAGTGGGTAGATGTAGGGGAGGGCAGTTCTGAGGCCTAAGGAAGTATAGTTATTATGGGCAGATGGTGTGTTAGAGCGGTGGCTCCCAAATTATAATGTGTATCCAAATGGCCTTGTTCAAATGCAGATTGTTCTTCAGTTAATGGGGGCGGTGAGAATTGAGATTCTGCTTTGCTTAGCTTCCTTCCTTCCTTCCTTCCTTCCTTCCTTCCTTCCTTCCTTCCTTCCTTCCTCTTTTTCTCTTCCTTTTTTCTCTTTTCTTTCTTTCTTTTTGAGATTCTGCATTTCTAACAAGCTCCTAGGGAATGTCAATGCTATTGGCCTCAGATAAGTACTTTCTCAAGCAATTAAAGAACACTTTTTTTACAGGTTTCCTGTGCTGTCCACAAGTAGAGCATCCCTATATGAAATCTTTTGTAAACCAAAATGCTTAAAGTGAAGAAGCAATTAACATTAATTTATATGGAAAAGTTTTGAGCATTCCCAGACCCCCAAAATAACCTCTCACGCTTTTCTGATACCTTGGAACACATCTTGCTAACGGATGCAGAAAATAAATCTAGATAAAGCACAGATACTCAGCGACACAGTTCAAGGCTTTGGTGGCTGGACGCTGAGATGCTGAGTGTAGTTCCTGGGGAAGGATGTTGGCAGGGCGGCTATGGCCGTGGGGGTTTGTGCTGCCGCCATAGTGGCTTGCTGCAAAACAAATGCTGAATGCTGTTTTTACTTTTCACTTTTTTTCGTAAAAGCAAAATTAACGCTTCAGATTTCTTTTGTTAGTGAAAACAGGCACTTATCTAGGTCTTTCATAAAAGCAAAGTGGTGTAATGTGAATTTTCAACAAGTGGGGGATACCTGTATTTGGGGGAGAGGGAAGGGAATACACTTTTGATGTTGACTGGTGAAATTAGGGATCATATACATTAACATTTATTATAGTTATTATATCTCAGAGGCTCTTTATATGCATTATATATATAAACTCATATAAATCCTCCCAGTAACCCTTTGAAATAAGTGCTGTTATTACTCCCTTTTACAGATGGGTAAACAAGGCACTTGTTCAAGGCTGTCCAGCTGGTAGTGGTAGAGCCCAGGCCATGTTGACCAGAGTTGCCCTGTTTTGCTATTTACAAGAGGCATGGAAGTTGTTTCAAGAGTCTGTATGAGAAGAGTGAACATTGGGGCTAGTGGTTAGAGGTTTTTTTCTCTCTTGGTAGATGCTTTAGAAATTTTTGAATAAAAGAATACAGTACTTCATTGTTACAAAAATTCGGTGGAGTGTACAGGGTGTAACTTCTTAGATAGGAATTTGCAGTGATTTTCCCCCCACTTTTTGTTAACTTCTATTTTCACAAACATGTGAATATAGTTCTAAATTTAAATTAGTAGCTGTAATTATTTATGTACTCACTAAATGCAGTCATGTGTTTATTGATTCTCCCAGATCTTGCTTGTGGGTTGGAAGCAGGATGGGGGCAAAGAACCTTAGTGCTCCTCTGTTCCACCATTTTACACTTGGTTAAATAAAGATAAAGATTCTTATGTATTGTCTGGCCAACCTTAGTGCCTATTTGTGGGTGAACACTTTGATACTTGTAAAAGCTCCCTTCTTGAAGAGCTTGTGGGTACACAGAAGAATTCTAGAAACTGAAATCATACTCACGACAGCTGGAACGTACTATCTCCCTCTCCATCAAGTTGGCAAGCTAGTCCTATTCTTTTGGCAGACTGATCACATTCTTTCCAGTTTGGCTTTCACTAGATATCTTCCTAAGGGAATCTACAAAGAAAGTAAGGAATAGAAAGATTCTTAATCTTTCATGAAGAAAAATTCAAGTATCTTCTTTTTTTTTCAAGACCTTAACTCATTTATAAAGGTGGTATTGCCTAAAGAAGGAGATTCAAGTGAGGATTGAAACTCACTGTAGTGAAAGAGACCATGCTTGAATTCAGATAATATTTAGCTAGAAATTTCTTATTGTTGGTCTTATACCTTAAAGGCAAAGGACTTATAGGGGTTTCAAAGCTCATATTTCATTATTAAATAATCTGGTCTTAGGTCTCTGCTAGAAAGCAGTTCATAGATTAAAAGAACGGTGACCCAAGAATTGTTTAATAATAAAGATGTTGGTGTCAATATTCAGTTTTAGATCAGTCACATTTCTAAAATCAAACTCTGGAAAGACTAAGTGGAATGAAACGTGTGGACATTAGGTAGACAATTTCCTTTGGAAAGTACCCTCTGGCTCCTCTTTGGTCACTTTCTGCCTGGAGCAGTATATCAAACACCTCTGCACATTGTCTTTATGAATGGCAACTTCAGCCTTTAGAATTGTTTACTGCAATAAACAAGTTTTAAGGGGAATGATATACATACCTTTGATCACTAGTGATACTATGTGAAGAGTGTGTAATTTTGTTAATGTTGATACTCAAACTAATGCTCTGTTTATTTAAAGGATATCTTGTTGTTTTTATTGGGCACCGTTATCTTCTGCTTAGAACAGTCCAAAGCCTCTTAGCTCCCTTCCCATTTTCCGCTCTTACTCTCTACAATCCATTCTCCATACAGCAACCATAGAACTTTAAAAAACAAACGCCCCCCCCATACATCACATCCCATTCTTGCTTGTCTTAAACTTTATAATATTTTATCTTTGCAGTTAGAACAAAATCCAAACTCTTATGTGATGTGATCCCTAATTAATTCTCCAACTTTTCTTATACCCGTCTCCCTTTGGTCTCATCATGGCAGCCCCGACGACTGGCTTTGGCTTGTTCCTGCACTGGGGTCATTGCATTTGCTCCCTCCTACCTGGAATCCTCCTTTCCAGATCTTCATGCATTTCACCCTAAGTATTTTTGGAATCCTCAGATTGTTAGATTTTAGACAATACCTCAATGTAATACAAACTAAGTGCCATGATTATTTAGTTTTTGTTTTGTTGTTACAGTATCTACTTTGTAACAATGTTTAGTATTTTTGAGGCGTCATAAAACGTCCTAAAACTTTAAAATTTTTATCCCTTTTGATAGTATATTTTTAAAATAATATATAGTATGCACATCTACATGTTTTTTAGATTTGGATATATGCATATCTACATCTTAGGGAATAGAATTTATTATAATAAATGAACCATTTCTTGATGACTCAGGGTCATTACTATATAAAATTGTTATTATGGTCTAATATAAGAATGTTCTCTGGGACTGCCGAGGATCTCTGCCCTTTCACTAAATTACCCCATGCTGCATTTTGAGTTCTAAGATCTGTTTGTTTATAGTTCTATTAAAAAACAAATTTATTCCTCCCTTTTTAGCTATGTCAGCTAATATTTTTATTTTCTTCCCATAACTCTCCCCAGCTCTACTCCCCCTTTCTAGTATTTTGCTTTTATTATATTATGTCTTAGAGAAACAGATTACTGTGCCAAATAAAATTGTGCCCAAAATAAGGGAAAGTGGCTCGAAGTCACTTAAGTTCATTTTTACAAGTGAAGTACACACAGATCAGTGCAAGGAGTTGCTTATATGCAGTTTGGCTTTTGCAGGTGTTTTTCATTTTATTTTAGATTTTTGACTATGTGACTATTTCATTGTTACATGAGAGCTGATAAGAGCCATGTGACTATTCTTATTTTCATTTTTTTTAAAGTTCCATATGATTTTGGTCCTGTAATTATCTTGTGCTTTTGATCAAAATTGGCTGTGAATTTTAAAAACTCATTTATTTTTCCAGCTTTATTGAAATATAATTGACATATTACATATAAGTTTAAGGTGTACAGTGT